AAAAACATTCAACAGAACTATTTAAGTCAATGTTGATTTTTAACTTTGGTATTTTTTTTTTCCAGTCAATATGAAGATTGTCATCGTATTAGTGTGTCTAGTAGCCTTTTGTTCGCTTGGATTTACTGCTCCTGACGTATGTTGAACATTGTATTTAATTAAATTAAAAAAAAAACCAACTGATTATTTAATCATACATTTACATATTCTAATGTTATATTTTTTATTTGCTATTTATTTTAGATATGTATCAATCAATTTAAAAAATAACCACATAAATAAATGAAATATATAGGTGAAAAGAATAAGTGAAAGAAATAAAAATAAATAATAAGTGAAATTAGCGAAACAATTAAGTGAAATAGAAAACGTGAAGCAAATGAGTGGAATAAAAAATCAAATTAATAGATGAAACAAATGAGTGGAATAAAAAAATTAAATTAATAAGTGAAACAATTGAGTGGAATAAAAAAATAAAATTAGTAAGTGAAACAAATAAGTGGAATAAAAAATAAAATTAATAAGTGAAACAATTGAGTGGAATAAAAAAATAAAATTAGTAAGTGAAACAAATAAGTGGAATAAAAAATAAAAATAATAAGTGAAACAAATGAGTGAAACAGAAACGTGCAGCAAATAAATGAAACAAGAAAAGTCAAACAAATGTGTTCTTTTACAGATCGGTCTCACTGATGACTCTATAGACTCACCTAAATCCTCTGGCGGTTATTTCTTTAGAGATGTTGACAAACGCTCGCCCGAGAACGTAAGTATGTTCATAACATAATCAGATAGGTGTGTCGTAGGTATTAGGTTGCTGGGCGGAGAAGAAGAGGAATTTCATGACACGCCCAGTGTTTCTTTCAGACGTTTTTACCTACGGGAGGGGGGACTTAAAACTTTTTTTTTTTTGGGGGGGGGGGGGGTCGGACTAAATTTTCCGGGTGTTGTATATATTTTCTTAAATACATACATTCTATTTCGTTCAGGGGCAGTTCCAAAAAAAAAAAATATTTATTTTTATCAGCTAGGAAACAAAATTAAAATAATAACATAATCCTTTGGTATAATGTTTTTTTTCCCTTTTAGAGAAATGTCAACTTTGACAGTGACTCAGCTGACAACTAGACACTACGGAAGGCAACTGTTACCCACCCAGTAGCCAGTTATCAAGCTTTGAGTTGGTCGAGCTTGTCATTTTATTTTGAGAGTAATAATAAAAGTTCTATCAAGTTAACGATGTCCAATGTGCTATTTTTTGTGTCTCTTGCTTCAATACAACATCAATAATAAGTCTGTAGTATACAACACATGGTGTGGGTTACTTTACGGATGGATTGGGTGACATGGATTATGTTGGTGACCTGGATGGTGTATGTAACCTTGATGATGTGTGTGACCCTGATGGTGTGTTTGACCTTGATTGTGTTGATGACCAATACGGTGTGTGACCTTGAGTGTATGTGACCTTGATTGGATATGTGACCTTGAGAGTGTGTGACCTTGAGTGTGCATGTGACCTTGAGTGTGCATGTGACCTTGATCGTGTGTGACCTTGATTGTGTGTGACCTTGATTGTGTGTGACCTTGATTGTGTGTGACCTTGATTGTGTGTGTGACCTTGATGGTGTGTCTAAACTCTAATATCCATATCCCTACCTTGGCGAAACACGGGTATACGCGTTGCTAGGTGCACTGAAGGAATAAAATGATTCACCGTGGCGGAGCACGGGTATGCAGCTGGTTTACTTATATCCAGTGTATGATTTTAGTACAATTTTTCTCTGTAGGTTTATCACAGTGTTTCCAACCTATTTGTCATTAGATCTTTCTGGTACATAAACACAGAATATGTTTAGATAAAAAGTGAAACTGCAACAATTGAAACACAAACAACAATCTGTTATGAATTCTGTACTGATGAAATTTAAACAAACCCAAAGTATAAGTTAAGCTGAGTACTTATTCACAGTTGACTTCTTTCTTCTAAAAACAAACGGGAATTGAACTAAAGTTTAAAATATCACAAGCATTTCATTAGACAAAAAAACATTTCGGTAATTCCCGATTCTTTAAATAAATGTTAGCATAGTAATGTATCGACCGGTCATTTCTAGGAAAGTGGTTTGGACTGCAGACATGTCAATTTTGTTGAAAAACTAAAGTTGACTTGAGGAGAAAAGGAGAAAGGTCTGTTAATTTACCCTAATTTTAAAACTTTGAGTTGTAATTTCACGTAATAAGATTGTTCACAATTTTTTCTGAAATAGCGTCCGCATATAAAGCTGCAATAAATAATTATATAACATATTTATTCTCAGTTACAGTAGTAAAAACTGCTTCGATAGACAAATATTTATCATACTTGAGACGTCAATATAAAACTTTGCCAAATACACACAATGTTAAATGAAAAAAACAAGAGAACTTCGTGTCGTATTCAAACAACCGAATCAAATCGAATCGTAAAAGTACAACATAGGCTGTAAAGAATAGAATAAGTAGTTCAATATAACTTCCTTCTTTGGGTTTAAGACTTCATTTCTTTCGTGTTGCGGCACAGCGTGTACACAGTGTGTACACAGTGTGTACTCAGTGTGTACTAGCTGTGTACTAGCTGTCGACACTGCGGACCTCTTATAAAACCGGATTAAACGGGTTTAAGATTAAGTTGTTTTAGTTTTCGACCAACAGGATCAGAAAGAACGGCGAGTGTGATGCGGTGAGTATTAAACTCATGGTATTTAGCTTTAGAAGTATTACATTTTGTGATGTACAAAGGTCTTTAATAAAGTTCAGTGTTGGTTGTATATTTGTGATGTATAAGGACAGTTAAAATAAAACGAGTTTTAACTTTATGTTAAAGACTTACATGTAATTGATACCATTTTTTTAAACATTACAAACATTAAAGTAATTTTTGTATAGTCTATGAATTGTGGTCTATGTTTGTGTAGTCTATGAATTGTGGTCTATGTTTGTGTAGTCTATGAATTGTGGTCTATGTTTGTGTAGTCTATGAATTGTTGTCTATTTTTGTGTAGTCTATGAATTGTGGTCTAAGTTTGTGTAGTCTATGAATTGTGGTCTATGTGTGTGTAGTCTATGAATTGTGGTCTATGTTTGTGTAGTCTATGAATTGTGGTCTATGTTTGTGTAGTCTATGAATTGTGGTCTATGTTTGTGTAGTCTATGAGTTGTGGTCTATGTTTGTGTAATCTATAAATTTTGGTCTATGTTTGTGTAGTCTATGAATTGTGGTCAATGTTTGTGTGGTCTAAAGGTCGTCCATAGATGAAGTCGCATGTTTATTCCCCCCCCCCCCTCCCCCCCTCCCCCATCAAGCACTGCCCATTGTCAAACTATCACAATAATTTCTACCACCAAACTGATGTAACACTTCACTACCCTCTCTCGCTTATAAGCACTCTTCCCCCCTCCCCCACTCTAAACCAGATAGGAAGTAATTTTTTTTTAAACCGGTCTATCTGTCTAAAATATTAACTGAACCGCGTCAAGTTTATGTTGATCAATTATTATTTCTCTTGACTGTAACTACTTATTTTATATCCAAACTAACTGAAAAAAAGTTTAAACAAAACTCAATGCAAAAGTTTGACATAAGACTTTCTAAACCCCATTACTTTGTCATACATCGTCTCTAGGTCAGATGACACCACGTGATACCCGGATCTGTCAGTTATGGTGTCACTCCACATTAACAACTATGTAAATGATATATTTAGACTAGAGATAATGTGTTGTGTGCCCCCCCCCCCCCTCTCCATCATCTTGAATGGTGTTACCCTGTACTCAATGATGTATATAACTTTAACAAGCTAATAAAGTAAATAGAAAAGCACTCTTTTTCATTAAAAATTAGCTAGATTTCGTTGTTGTTTCACCCCTGCCCCTTTTGGTTGGTGTCACCCGGTTCAGCCCGCACCCCCCTCCCCACACCAGTCTTTTAACCAGCTTCTTAAAGCCTATAATTTCATTGTATAATACATAGGGAATCCATGTTATATTATTACAGTCATGTTTTGTTTTGTTTTAGATCAGACACCTTATTTCGTGTAAGACTCGATGTAGAATTCCACGCCTAAATCACACTTTAAAAGTTCTTGTTTTTTGTGTGTGAGTAACTTATAGAGCTCACGTTCTCACCCCCACCCACAAGTGACGTCTTTACCCCTGAAGACATGAGCAAAGTTAACCCCTTAGGTGTCGCTAATCATGTTGATGGTAGCAATACATATGCTGCTACTATAGAGGATGGTAGCATCGCTTCAGAAGATGGTGTTAACATTATAGACGGCTCAGCAACTAAAGATGGTGTTAACATTATAGACGGCTCAGCAACTAAAGATGGTGTTAACATTATAGACGTCACAGCAACTAAAGATGGTGTTAACATTAGAGACGGCATAGCAACTAAAGATGGTGTTAACATTAGAGACGGCATAGCAACTAAAGATGTTGTTAACATTATAGACGGCTCAGCAACTAAAGATGGTGTTAACATTATAGACGTCACAGCAACTAAAGATGGTGTTAACATTAGAGACGGCATAGCAACTAAAGATGGTGTTAACATTATAGACGGCATAGCAACTAAAGATAGTGTTAGCATTGTGGATGGCACAGCAACTAAAGATGGTGTTAACATTATAGACTGCACAGCAACTAAAGATGTTGTTAACATTATAGAGGGCAAATCAACTAAAGATGGTGTTAACATTATAGACGACACATCAACCAAAGATGTTGTTAACATTATAAACGGCACATCAACTAAAGATGGTGTTAACATTCTAGAAGACACAGCTAAAGAAGCTACAACTATTGCTGCCACTGAATCCCATGTAAAGACGTTGCATTCTACAGTTTCTATTAACACCTTAGTTACCACACATTTAGACGGCCTTAACCCATGCGGCTCCGAACCTGCAACAGATTTTAGCCCCAATGATGTCATAACATTTCTCGATGTAAAAAATTTGGACGTCACAGTAGAGACCATTTATGACGACATTAGCAAAGTCATAGAGGACATTCTGAGAGAAGTGTGCGGAGATGCGACAAATACATACGACATTAAAACGGACGCGAATTGTGGAGAATGTTCTAGAAACGTCTGTGATGCAAATTGTGACAACTTTTATGGGGAGGATAGCGATAAAAATACACTAATAAACAAACTAGCGGGAAAAACCGATGCGTTTGATTTATCGGAATTCTCCAATTTAATGAAAGCAAAAGCCGACGAGAAGTTTGAGGTGGAAAATTGTGATGAATTTCTTACGAAGGATAATTTTTATGAAACCAAGTCTAGTATTCAAAAATTAGAAGTTAATACGGATGGAAACTCCGATTCCGATCAATCAAGTATTCAAAAATTAGAAGTTAGTACGGATACATCCGAGTCGATTGGAAACTCTGATTCCGATGAAGACATGGGATGGAATTCAACGACAAAATCTAACTTTGGAGACAGCAACACGCGTGAAACTGAAGCCGTCAGCCCTAACCCAAACCTGACAGTATTTCAGCTTGTAGAGCAGGCCAGGTATAGGGGTGTACCTGGTATACTTGACCTCGGGTCAGAGGTCAACGCCACGAATGACCGAGGGGAGACGGCCTTGGCAGTGGCGATCAGAGATGATGACAGGGTTGCTAGAGACGCGCTACTGGAAGCTGGTGCCTCGTGAGTATATAGGTCAACCGGTCAGTAGGTCAGCTGGTTAGTGCGTCAGCTGGTCAGCTGGTTAGTAGGTCAACTGGTCAGCTTTTCAGTAGGTCAACTGATCAGCTGGTTAGTAGGTCAACTTGTCAACTGGTCAGTAGGTCAGCTGGTTGGAAGGTCAACTGGTCAGTAGGTCAGCTTGTTAGTACGTCAGCTGGTCAGCTGGTTAGTAGGTCAACTGGTCAGCTTTTCAGTAGGTCAACTGGTCAGCTGGTTAGTAGGTCAACTGGTCAGCTGGTCAGTAGGTCAACTGGTCAGCTGGTCAGGAGGTCAACTTGTCAACTGGTCAGTACGTCAACTAGATATTGGGTCAACTTGTCAGAGAAATCAATGCTACACCCAGCTGTATTATCAACCGATTTTAGATAACATCCTTAGATTAAATGTGAACACTTTAAAGCTTTTACCGGGGAGGGGGGGGGGGGGAGGGTGAAACCAACAGCAAAATTAACACAGACAAAAAGGGGGGGGGGGATGACACCATGAGGTGCCGCAACGGGTGACACCCGACCTAGCGACGCCACTGTTTGTTAGTATTACCAACCTACCCCTTGCTCTAAGACTAGCCATACTCTTAAGTCATTTCCAGTACTTAATCATAACCACGACACAACAGTAACACCAGTATATGCATAAAATAACTCGTATTGTCCTTTATATTTCAGACGACCAAGATTTCATAACCGATGGAATAAAACGTCTGGCATTTATTTCAGGAACGACCAAGTCAGGTTCCCATTCGACAGTGTAGATGACCAAGTTCTTGAGATCTCAGTGGCGGCCAGTGAAGGGTTAACACGTCTCGTGGTCATCTGTAGCACGCTAGGGGTTAACATCAACGCACGAAATAGCTTGGGCAGGAACGCGCTGATGTTAGCTATTGAGAGAAATGATTTGCCAGCAGTTATCGCCCTTGTTGAGGCTGGTAGCTACTACACAGAAGCTATGTTTATTGACGCTCTTCGGGCGAAAAATATCGAGTTGTTTACTATTCTGTTAAGGGGAGTCCGCGACAAAGACTTGCGTTTATCTGACAGTCTGGTTTCAGAAATTTTGTAACACCCCGAAGACATGTTGATCCAAATTTTGAAAGATCAGAACACCCCTGGACAAGAAACGTTCTTGATGCGGGCTGTAAGGATGAACCATCTTCAAGGAGTTCAACGTCTGCTTCAAGCGGGAGCGGGGTTTGGTAAAATCTGCAACGGCAAGTTAGCTTTACATCTAGCTGTAGTGTTCGCTGATTTGAGGATTATCTCATTACTTTTGGCTAACAATGCGTGCGTTAATCTTCCAGATCATGTAGGGGACACTGCTTTAATTTTAGCTACCATGCGAAATGATAGTGAAATATTAAATTTATTAATAGACAACGGCGCTTTAGTTAATTTTAAGAATCGTGAAGGACAGACAGCTTTACTTAAAGCTGTTTCAGGAAAGTTTACAACAAGCGTTAGATGTCTTCTAGAAAGAGGAGCGGATGTAAGCATCATAGACCAGAATGGAAACACAGCGTTAATTTTAGCATCAATGAACGGCAGTATGGATGTCGTACAAATGTTAACACAAGCAGGGGCTGATGTTAACATGGTGAACTCTGAAGGTGAGACAGCTTTGTTAGCGGCTGTAGCAGGGTCAAGGTTAGAAACCGTCAACTTCCTGTTGGATTTTAACGTTGACTTGAATCACAAAAACAAATCGGGGAACTCCGCGCTAATTATAGCAGCTGAGCAGAATGACGTCAGCTGCGTAGAGGCTTTGCTAGCGAGAGGAGCGGATGTGAATCAGATAAACACAAATGGAGATACAGCGTTGATGATAGGGTCAGCACATGGATCAGTTGAGATGGTGAAGAGTTTACTATTTTATGAAGCTGACGCCAATTTGAAAGACGTGTACGGAAATTCTTCTCTAGTTTCGTGTGTAGCTCGCTACACCAATGTGCTGTCTGGCGAGAAAGCTTGTTGCGAAAATTTTGCCGACTTCCTAGAAGACGAGAAACCAAAATTAGTTTTAATTATAAAAAGTTTGATAGAAGCTAGCGCAGACGTTAACGACGTCACGAATAGAGAAGGGAACCCCGTTTTGTTTGACGTCATCCGAGCCGGTGACCTTGACCTGGTGAAACTTTTTCTCCCCACGGCTGACCTTGAGCAGCGTGACCTTGATGGCAACACGGCCGCCATTGTCGCCAGCGAAGCGGGACGGCTACCCATCCTGCAGGAGCTGTTGGGGCGAGGCGCATGCGTCAACGCCGCCAACAGCAGCTGTTTGACAGCCCTACACAAGGCTATCATGATGTCAGACGTGGACATGGTCAAGACGCTGATTGCTGCGGGGGCTGAGGTCAATCTTGACGACCCGGATGGAAACGTGTATCTAAATTTAGCTCAAAGCCTGGATAATACTGATGTTGTGGAAGCGCTAAAGACCGCCCTAGGTCTTCAACACGACCCAATGAAGGTTTTCTAGATCATTTGATAATCTGGTGGAAGCCGATTCTTGGAGGCAACTTACATGTCTTTGTGAGTTTGGAAATTGGAGGGATGGGGGTAGGACAGTTTGATGATTCTTTCCACGATGAAGATAGTAAGCTGTCGCTGATACAGGTTGTGTACAAAGATCAATTAAAAAACCAAGAAACATCTAGGGGCTTTGTGTTGGTCAATTGATGCTACGTTACTATGTATCATCGATTCTGATACTATATCTCGCTATAAAACACTACCATCTTGAAAGATTTGAGATGTATTTTATACATAGATTAAATATGTTTTTTTATTTAAATTATCTAACTTTGTATAGCAATACCGAAAAGAGTTAATTCTCATCTTGGAATTCGCCATTGTACATGTTTTATAATGATGCTAAAATAAGTCCAGTGTGTTTGTACAAGTCACTGCGGTATTTTTAATGTCCGCTTGAGTTTACTTTTGATTCAACTGTTACAAGTCGTTAGAATTTTTATTAATATCCTGACGTCACGTCCAGACGAATTGACCAGATGACGTTGTGGCTCACTGAATTTGGAAAATCGCCATGCTGGATGTAAATTGAAAGCAATTTAATTTGAATTACAGACTTTTTTTGTGCATTGACATTTTTAAGTCATGTCATCACAGTTGTCTAAACATGAGATTTGTTTACTTTTTATAATGTGCTTTATTCTTTTGTGCATCTGATGGTGGGGCGTTGTTTTGAGATTAAAAACTTGTATTGATCTCTCAAGACTTGGAAAACGGTGTATTTAAGGAACAAAAAAATCAATGCAGAATTTTAAAATTTAAAATTTAAAAAATAAACAATGTGTTTTTATATTTATACATAAATGTGTCCGATTTTTGTAAAATATTAAAATGTTTCCTTTATTACAAAGTGGTGTTGATTACATGTGTACTGTATGTGTCACATCCAATAAAAAAATAAAAAGCAGCAAACTACTTGCTTGCTTATTATGTTATCTACGAATAGAGTTTACCACCTTAAAAAATCGATATTAATCGAACAGGCAGCCTTAAGGCGTAAGTTGGGGTTTGGTCTCTTCTTCTAGGCCACGCCTTCTTATAAGGACTAAGTGAAATGTTTTTCTCGGGAAACATTGATTAGAGAATCACTGTAGGGTTGCTCTGTGTACGTGTGAAATGTCACGCTGGGGGTGGGGGGGGGGGTCGGGCTTTACACGTGTGTAATGTCAGAGAAGGGTCGGGCTTTACGTGTGCTAGGTGTGTGTGTGTGTGGGGGGGGGGGGGGTGGGGCTTCACACTTTTGCTTAGCTGGGCCAGGTGTGGCACACCCGCCACAACTCTTACCTTCATGTTATTGTTATTGATCGGTGATAGAACGCCGACTAGTTTAAACTGACAGTAAGGATAAATAATCGAAGCGTTCCGCAGATGCATTTTGAAATAGCGGCAACTTATATGGTAAACGTGCATTATTCCTCATGGATTAAAAACAATCAGCTATTTTGGGTTTATTTCCTTCTAAGTATTTCACTATCTTTCTTTTATTTCTTCTAGATCCTGTAGATGTGGTCGTCCATAATAAAATTCAAGTTACTTCCCCTATTCGTCGATTTTTTTCAACGTTACATGTGTACGTAAAGTCGTAAGTTCTAATCTACTGAAAGAGCTGAACGATGGATCTAGAAGGGTTGCCACATTCAAAGAAAGCTAAACGAGAATCTGACATAGTTTCACTAAACGAATTGCAAATGTGTACCACATTGAGAACCCATCCTCTCATTACGTTGCCATTAGATACTCCACCAGGAACCATACCATTCGAACGCCTACCGTCAGAGTCCCAACCACTAGGAACCCAACCATCGGAAACCCTATTGTCAGAAACCATACCGTCAGTAGCCCTGAAGTCGGAGAACCTACCGTCAGAAACCCTACCATCAGAAACTATAACGTCAGAGGCCCAACCTTCGGGAGCCTTGCCGTCACAAACCCTACCATCGGGAGCCCTACCATCGGGAACCCTACCATCGGGAACCCTACCATCACAAACCCAACCATCGGGAACCCTACCATCGGGAACCCTACCATCACAAACCCTACCATCGGGAACCCTACCATCGGGAACCCTACCATCGGGAGCCCTACCAACCGTTGAAGAAAGTGAAAAAATTGCTCCAGTTTCAGACAATCAAATTGAACCACACGGTGAACCAGCTATTCCACTTCTACATAGTAAAGGGGAACCGAATGCCACAGCTTTAGACATTCACAGGGAACTTAATACCATAGCTGTAGATATTCAAATGGAACCTAATACTTCCGGCTTAGGTATTGGCAGTGAGACGTCTATCCAACCATTAAATATTGAAATCAAGCAACACACCCTACATTTAAATCTTCAACACGAACAAACTTCATCAGCGTCAAATGAACAAGGTATCCCTAATCCACCTAAATCAGCAGTAATTGAACAAGGTATCCCTAATCCAGCTATTGAAGCAGCAGGTGTACAAGGAATCGATAATCCAGCTAATCCAGCAGTAATTGAACACGGTATCCATTCTCCAGTTATTATAGCAGCAAGTGAACTAGGCATCAATAATCCAGCAGTAAATGAACAAATTATTCATCATCTAGCTAATCCAGAAGTAATTGAACAATATATCCCTACTCCAGCTATTGAAGCAGCAGGTGAATTAGGCATCAATAATCCAGCAGTAAATTTACAAGGTATCCCTAATACAGCGACCCATTCATCAGCAGACGACAACGACGATCTGAGGGTGTTCAGGTACTACCTCAAGGCCAGCTGTGGGGTGAGTCTGAAGGACTGTTTTCTGGGCCTGAGGAACAGTCTAGGTCAGTCACCTCTGGACATAGCCAGGCAGTTGAACGACGTGAAGGCATTCCAGATCCTAAAGCAAGCGGGGTTTCTGTATGTCTCATTTATGTACCATCTTTACAAAGTATTATAATTAACAGCATTTATTTTTTAATACTATTTTAAGCACAGCCGTAACTGTTTTGAGAAACATAGCCAATGCAAAGTTAACATTTTATTGTTACAGTTAAGCATTGTGAACGTGGTGTTTGTATTTTAAAAGTATTAAGTTCATTTTTGCTCGTTATCATAATTACATTTTGAAAGTTTTAATAACTTTCAATTTTTTTTCAACGATATTTTAAATTAAATAATTAATAATTTTTGTATAAAGATTGATTTATTTTTAAATTTTACCTTCCTTCTAATTAAAAAAAAAAACTTTCTTATAAAAACTTGGCATTATTTTATCCAAGATCCCGTGTGGACAAAGAAGTGAGCGCGGACCTCCCAGGAAACATTACAGTGAGACAGATCCTCAACACAGCAAAGTACGGGTGTGTAGACTTCCTGAAAGAGGTCTTGCGTGCCCTGTGTGTGGGTGTGGATGTAAGTAACAGCGAGGGGAAGACAGCTTTGATGCTGGCCATTGAACAGGAGGAGGCTATAGCAGCAGCAGTACTGAGTGAAGTGGCAAGACCAGAAGACAAGACTTGTAAGACAGAAGATACGTAACATGTGACTTACAATGGCAATATAACATTTTTTACATCTACGGGTGGGGTATGGGATGGACTGTGAAATTTTACACATTGAGAAATATCTTGACAATTTATTTTGTTGGGTTCAAAAACATCCGATCTGGTGGTTTTATTTGTTGTTAAAAAAGAATAAATTAACTTTTTTTTTTTTTAAAAATCATATGTTGGAATGGATTAAACTACGATATTTTTTTTTAAAGGACAATCGTTAGAAATAGAAACAGGTCTTAAAATGTAAGGCTACGAGTGTAAATGGGACTAAAACATAAAGAGACGACAAAAATTTATTGAACTTATTTTTTAACAAATACAAACTATAATTTAATATGTTTTGTATTTTTGCCGTGCGCTGTGTTTTATTTTCATATATCATAATGTTTGTGTTCATTACATATAACTTTTATACAATACAAAAATTAAAATAATACTATTAAAATTTTGATTTGAGATATTTTGTCTTAGATCAACTGTCCATGTTATAATTTGTCCTGATATATTTTCTCCTGGTATCTTTTGTTCGTGAGATCATTTGTCCAGGAGATAATTCGTCCTGAGATCATTTGTCATGGAACCATATATATATATATATATATATATATATATATATATATATATATATATATATATATATATATATATATATATATATATCTATATATATGTTTGTTTTCTTTTGATTTGGTCTGTATAATATATACCTGTTAGTCGACTTATTTTAATATGTTTCAAATAATACCAGAGCTAAATGCTAAATAAAAGTTCCATAATTTAGCCTGAATTGTTTCAGCTGGTAAAGCATTGTCATTTTCTTCGTAATTTATTAAAGGAATGACGTGGTGGAGGGGTAGAGCCTATAAGCACAAAACTCAACGTCTCGAGTTCAGTTCACAAGCACTAGTCTATAGAGCGTACTTGAGTGCACCCAGCCCTGACTGGTAGCAGATTTGGACAGGGGAAGGGGAAGGTGGCTGGGACCATACCATACCTCTCTTGTCGAAGGTGGCTGGGACCATACCATACCTCTCTTGTCGAAGGTGGCTGGGACCATACCATACCTCTCTTGTCTAAGGTGGCTGGGACCATACCATACCTCTCATGTCGAATGTGGCTGGGACCATACCATACCTCTCGAAGGTGGCTGGGACCATACCATACCTCTCTCGTCGAATGTGGCTGGGACCATACCATACCTTTCTTGTCGAATGTGGCTGGGACCATACCATACATCTCTTGTCGAAGGTGGCTGGGACCATACCATACCTCTCTTGTCGAATGTGGCTGGGACCATACCATACCTCTCTTGTCGAGGGTGGCTGGGACCATACCATACCTCTCTTGTCGAGGGTGGCTTGGACCATACCATACCTCTCTTGTCAAATGTGGCTGGGACCATACCATACCTCTGTTGTCGAATGTGGCTGGGACCATACCATACCTCTCTTGTCAAAGATGGCTTGGACCATACCATACCTCTCTTGTCGAAGGTGGCTTGGACCATACCATACCTCTCTTGTCGAAATGTTGCTTGGACCATACCATACCTCTCTTGTCGAAGATGGCTTGACACCATTTAGGAGGGGGGGGGGGGTGACACCAAGGCAAAAAATAGTAAAATATATAGAGAAAAATTTGACGGGGGGGGGGTGTGCAAATCAAAAGTTTAAGGGGGGGTGCAAATCAAAAATTGAAAGTTGGTCCCCGGGAAGAGTCGCTACGCCTCTGGGGGGGGGGGGATGAATGACACCATTAAGTGCCGCACCGGGTGACACCCGACCTCGCTACGCCACTGCTTGACCGCATAGTATAACACAACACAACCCAGTAACACATGTAAGTTGTGTATGTTTTATAGACTGCTGTGTCAGCCGGGGTATTTCCCAGATATTTCCAGAACATTGGGGTGGGCTAGTGTAGGGTGGGCTTGTATAACCCCAACTACTGAACACTTCCTACGTGCCAGCTATCACACAACACTATACATGGACGTGTTTAGCATTATTTATACCACACAGCCCGTAAGTATAGGGGGGGGGGTTAAATATCATAAATCAACATATTAATTTAATTAGCTATTTAAAATTTAAAAGGTAAATAAACAAACAAAAATTACGTTAAATGTATGCTAAATATTGAAAGAATGAAGACCAAAGTATGCCGAATATTGATTTCCGCCTTGTTCGGATTTTCACGAAAATCTTCGGTTGTCTTCTTGGAAAACGTTTCATTTCGAAACTGAATTTGGTGTAAAGTAACTGTTCAAACTGGTTGTTTTTAATATTTATGTCAAAATGTGAAAAAAAACGTGTGCCAAGTAGCACTTGAGGTAAGTGTTTTCTTAAAATATTGGTATAACATATCGTAAGTATAGACATAATGTTTGAATCATTAAATTACAACAACCGAAAAAGTCGAGACTGGCTAGTTTACTTCCCAGATGAAGCATCGAAATGCCAAATAACCCGATTACAGATTACGATTTATTAAATAAAACAAGCCTTTCCTTTAAAATTGTAAAAAATACACACTTCCGTTTAAAAATTGTATCAATATGTAAGACTAGAAATAGATCCTAAATATAGCGACCGGGTGTAAGAGGATCTAATCATGTCTTGTATTTCTATATCGTTTAGTTCGTAGCTAATTTTAGCAACAGATAGTGGAATTGCTGACAGAGTTGTTGAATGTTCGTAGTTCGTTCAATGATTATCTTAGTACCTATTACATACCTTTATTTTAAAGCAATAAATTACTTTTATTCTGCATACTACCATCCTGCCACATGCAGTGTTTTAAGAAAAACCCACACCATATTTATAAACTTAAGGGTGGTTTATTTCAGACTTAATTCAATCAAAATGTATCTGTTCCTTCTGTAATGCTGAATACGTTTAAAATCGTTGCAAAATAAACAACAAAATAAAATGTTATTTGACGTCCACAGTTTTAACTAGCCAAGTAGGAATGGATCCGAATCTCCTACAACCAATGGACGAAGGAGAGTTGGGGGAAACTGTAAATGAAGCGAACTCCACAGAAGACAACGATGGTGAAGAGGACTCCTCAGAAGACAACGATGGTGAAGAGGACTCCTCAGAAGACAACGATGGTGAAGAGGACTCCTCAGGAGACGGTGATGATGAAGAGGACTCCTTAGAAGATGGCGATGTAAACCTCGAAGATATTTTGGGAGAGGCAGATGACGTCAGTCAGCCTGAGATTCCTGATAATGCTGATCTTAAAGTGCTTCGAATCTACATGTTAGCTAAACTAGGAAAACTTGAGGCTATCCTTAAGTTAGGGAGTGACGTCAACTTGACAAACACAGACGGGCTGACAGCTTATGACCTGGCTCAGAGAGATGAGGAAGGTGGGGCAGCTATGGCTCTGCTGGAGGAGGCGGGGGCCAGGTGGGTGTCACATTATCTCGTCTGTGTCGTGTGATATTGGGGATGACAGTTGGAGGGTTGTAAGGGCTCAATTTAGAAGGATGGTTTGTCAGGGCCAAGAGGCGGAGAGTTTTTTGTTGATCTCGGATATAAATGTTAGAAGAATGAAAGTTATCTTGCAGCCCAACAATAAATTTATAATATATACCTATATATATATATATATATATATATATATATATATATATATATATATATATATATATATATATATATATATATATATGTTTGTATGTATGTGTGTGTATATTTTGGTGGGTATTTTTTATATATATGTATGTGTGTATGTATGTATGTATGTGTGTGTTTATTTCGGTGGGTATTTGTTTATACATATGTGTGTATGTATGTATGTATGTGTGTATATTTTGGTGGGTATTATATATATATATATATATATATATGTGTGTGTGTGTGTGTGTATGTATGTATGTATGTGTGTGTATATTTTGGTGGGTATTTTTTTTGGGACGGTGTGGTCGAACAGTAGAGCGCTTGACTCCTACCCTGAAAGTCTCGAGTTTGGATCCCGGGCTCGAGTCCGCACGACGTCCCTGAATTCACTCAGCTCTGATGAGTACCTGACTCATGTCAGTGAAAGTAAAGGCAGCTGGGCATAGTGCTGACCACATTATCATTTAATATGTCGAGGTCACTAAAACAGTTGAACAAGTGAACTCAACTGTATCTTCCCTATGAACCCTACATATTTAAAAACTTACTGTGATTTCAATCGAATAACTTTCTGAACCTGATTCACAGACCACAGCCTACGTGTAATTCGCTGAGCCAGCAAGTAGAGACAGAGCCCGAAGAAAACCTCACAGTCAACCAGATTTACAACGCTGCCAATCATGGCGATCCGGGTTTCTTACGTGCTGTTGTCTTAAACCTTGGTTGTGCCAGCATTGATGCTGTCGACACGGAGAATAAAACAGCTTTGATGCTCGCTGTGTATAATAATGATGTTGTTGCGGTGTCAACTCTTGTACATGAAGGTGCTACTGTGAGTCCGCTGATTCTGGACACCGCCATGCAATGGTGTAACGAAGATATGGTGCAGACGCTTCTTACTTCTTCAGACATTGCCGCAAAGGAGGAGCGGCATAAGCGTTCTGTTGATGAGATCAAAGAACTTATTAAATCAAGCAATGCATGTGAAAATAACAACATACCACGCATTGAGGGTAGTCCTGAGACAACAGAAGGATCTGGAAATATCGAGAACCAGGAAGTAGCGGAGAGTTCTGGTAACTGTGGCTTAAATCATTTACAGGACGATTGTGCTGACAATCCAAGCCTTGTACGTCAGAGGGAAGTTGGTGAAACAAGCAACAATGCAATAAACCCATGCGATGCTTCTAATACAGACCGTTGTGACGGTATCGAGATGCCGAATGTTCCTAGCATTACTGACACGAATCCTGACAACACTGACACTAATCCTGACAACACTGACACTAATCCTGACAACACTGACACTAATCCTGACAACACTGACACGAATCCTGACAACACTGACACGAATCCTGACACCAATCCTAAAAACACTGACATAACGCCTTCTAGATCTGACAAAACCACTAACAACCTTGAAACCAATTCACTCTTTGAGTCCATAGCAAACGGTGACGTAGTCACGCTTCAATACCTTCTTGAAACACATCCAGATCTCAATGCCAGAGACTCTAACAATAGAACTCTGCTACACGCCGCCCTCCAGGCTGGTCAACTTGACATGGTCAAGATTTTATTGACAGCCGGGGCTGACTGTAACGCTGAAGACATTGACGGGAACACGCCGTTAATGGTAGCGTGTGAACGCGGCGTTAGGGAGGCGGTATCTCTTCTTGTCCAGCATGGAGCAGAGGTCACATTCGCAAACAGGAGGGGGGAAACAGCTTTGAGAACAGCCGCTGTACGGTCGGACCTCGCCATGCTGTTTTACTTGGGGTATCTGAGACTACGTTTTGGACATAGGACAGCACTGTCCAGTATTGGCAGGACAGCACTGTCAAGTTTTAGAAGGACAGCACTGTCAAGTTTTGGAAGGACAGCACTGTCCAGTGTTGTCCTTATATCGGTATTAGCTGCCCTGTTTTCATTTGTCTATATTGCTATATGAATGTATACATTTAGTACGAAGAGGTTCAACACAAAATTATGATAAGTTTGTTTGATAAAATGCTTTAGTCTTTCAACGGATATTAAGCAAAAATTAAAGGCATGGGATATGTTGGCCTATGTGATACATTGCCATTTTGTAGACCTATGTGATACATTGACATTAAAAAGAAAACATTTAAAAACCGGTTTTATTTGTAATAACATTTTTTTAAATTTAATAATAATGATATTTAATCCTACTTTTTTAAAAGAAAACTATTTTTTTTTATTTTTACATTGCAGCTGTTTTAGGCTAAAATATAAATCATATAAATGAACTAACCATAGAATTAGAGTTTTAACAATTCGTTTTATTTATGTAGGCAATGGAACAAATGGTCTTTAATGGGGTTTTTAAGATAACTCGCCTTTGTTTGCTAGAAAACAAATTATAAACTATATTTTTATATATATTATAGATATATGTATATTATATATTACATAAAATAACATGATTTTGTGAATAAAATAAAAATATAAATGCAACAACTTATTTATAATATGTTAGAAAAAAAAGAGGAAAATAACTGTTGCTGTTATTATCGATAGCTAAAATTTCAACTTTTTACATTATACGAAAGTTTCAGATGATCTTTAGTAAGAACATTGGCGTATTTTGCTGTAACAAGGTTTCTCATTGTACAGGAAAAGTATTACACTCATTGTGCATTCTAATAGTAAATAGAGACACTCAAAGTTCACTTTATAGTGACGTTCAATGTGTATTTTATTTATGACTGACAATGTACATTTTAAAAGTGACAAAGTCAAATTTAATATTGACACCCAGTGAGCTTTTTGATAGTGACATACTCATATTTTCTTTCAAATGTTTCTTACTGCGGTAATCCCATTTATCACTAAACATCCGAATATTAAACGTTTCATACATTTTTATAAAAAGTGTAGATAAAGTAAAGTTTTATAACTCTTTCCAGAGCCAATGTTAGCATGTTTATTTTAGCTGTGCTCTTATATGCTGTTTTTGCTCCCCCCCCCCTATCTAGCATTAATCACACAGTTATAAAGCTATTTCCTGAATTTTGGGTGAATGTAGGCTATTCAGAATGTACAATTCCTACAAATTATTTATTTTGTTTATTTTACAGTTTCTAAAAAAAAGAATAACATACTATCTAGTGAAAGAATAATCCCTCTAAAATATTCTGGACACACTAAAGCTTAAAGTATTTTAAAAAGTTACTTATAGGTAAAAACTTGATCAAAGCATTGTTTGACGAAGTACATCACATCAAGCAATCAAAATGTTCACGACTACATAACACGTCTATACTAAACATGGACATCAATTAAAAATATCAACGATAACATATCACTCAAAATATGAATGATAAAATTTCAATCAAAATATGATCGATAAAACATCAATCAAAATATGAATGATAACACATCAATCAAAATATGAACGATAACATCATTTAGAATATGAACAATAATACATCCATCATATTATGAACGATAACACATCAATAAATATATGAATGATAACACATCAACCAAAACATTAACGATAACACATCACTCAAAATATGAACTATAACTATAATCAAAATCCCTATCAATTAAAATATGAAGGATGTCTCAACTAATGATCTAAAACTTTAAGCACGGCGCTACCATACAGTGCCACAGCCAGGTAGACCTGCTAGGCGGGTGTAGGCCGCATTTAGAACAATCTGACCTACACGTCATTTAAACATAGGTCTTATGTAACTAGACGAATCCCCGACACATTTCGTATTGACGTTCGATTTCTCATAAACATAAATCAATAAAGGTTTGTGAATACATTTAATTATATCAAGTGGTATCGAATTACTGTAGAACTTGACTTGGCTTACTTTTCCAAATGTGTTGGGATTTTCAGAGAAAACTTTAAACATAGATTACCTTCACACTTGAGAATTCTATAAATACTAGGGTGTGTATCGAATGTTTGCACTACCTAGCGCTTATATGGCTGGGTTTATTGTTTAACAGCTGTTGTAATGTGTGCTACACGATCGTGACAATTCTGTTCATTCAGGTTAGTTGCTTTTTCCAGCATTCAGTTCAGTTGATAGTAGTTGCGATTAAAGACACGTAATTTAAAAGCTAATTACTTGTAATTTTATATGATTAATTAAACCGTGTTATTATATAAATACTTCATTTGTGTCCACCATTTAAACTTTGGGTAAACAAATGTCGTTTTTAATAATATGGGAGGCACCTTAGGTACCTAGAAATGTGAGGGAGGAGGGTTAACTACTTTTTAAATTTATTCTTGCGAATTATGTTAGATTAATATAACTTACGAGCCGACCCGCGGCATATCATATGCCGCTATTTAGTTGTTTTATTTTCTACTTTTCAGTAATTCATAATTTGTGAATTCGACAGTACCAATGCTGCCACTGAAAATATTTGCTTAAAAACACTATCAGTAGGTCGTTAAGAACGATACTACCCCCACCCTCCTTTCCCCCAACCCCTACCCCCAACTTCCTTTCCCCCAACCCCTACCCTACACCCCCCTGTGAAAGCAGCCTCCTCTTAGTTACCTCCCCTAAGTTTAAAATCGTTTTAAACTAAATTATCTGCCCCTAATAGCCGTCACTAGACCCGGCTCTACGAATGTAAACATTTAGCGTGAACCACAGCTCACCAGACCATGTAGGGGTGGGGTGGTAGGGAGCGCGCTTACAGCTTGTTTTCTAGCGTCTCCCAGAAGAGAATTATATATATAGATTTCTAACTGTAAATTTTTTTAAATTAATTAAAAAATAAACTTGTGTTAAGCTACAAAGTGGCCTTTTAAACATGGAGCAAGGCGGTGGAAAAGCGGACGTACAAGAGGCACATGCAGGACAAGAAGACCGTACTAATACGACGGTATGGGTTGGTGATACACGAGAAGACGACTTGTTTGTTGCTGAAGACCTTATGGTAGAGCCGGTTCAAGACCAGATTGAGCCGGTTAAAGATCTTGTGGTAGAGCTGGTTTAAGATCAGGTTGAGCCGGTTAAAGACCTTGTGGTAGAGCCGGACACGGACGCTTTATCAGAGACGGATGAAGACCCGGATGAGGACCTTTCGGTACAGCCGGATGAGGACCTTCCATTGGAACCGGAAAATGATCAAAGTCGACTCGATGTTACTGATACTCCTGATCTAAAAGTATATCGACTCTACTTGCATGCTAAATACAATAACATCCAAGCTGTCCGTCAGTTCGACAGTAACCTCAACATGACCAACTCCCAAGGCCGGACAGCTTTAGACTTAGCTCGTGACGTCATGAGAGATGAAAAAGCCGCACGTTTGCTAGAGGAAGCAGGCGTCAAGTGAGTTACTGTCTCTTCTTTGTCTCCATTCAAAATATTGGAGGGGGGAGGGGGTGCTTTGGCGTATAAGTCCCAGAGCCGAGTTCGTGAATTTGTGTGTTGTATTTGTGTGTTGTGTATGTGTGTATGTGTTTTGCATGTCTGTGTTGTGTAGGTGTGTATGTGTTTTGCATGTCAGTGTTGTGCTTGTGTGTTGTGTTATGTGTGTATGTGTTTTGCATGTCTGTGTTGTGTTATGTGAGTTGTGTTATGAGTGTATGTGTTGTGTTTGTATGTTGTGTGTGTATGTGTGAGTTTTCAAAACATGAACCATTTCAGTTGGAGGTGTCTTCTTTAACTAATTCAATATGATCTATACGGTTGTAAACCCCGAACAACCTACTACCGAGGTTAAATCGTCGTAAATTGCTGAGATTTTTTTGGAATGTATTGGCAAGAGTGTTGTAGTGACTGGGTTATGGAGAGTTGTTTACACCAGATGCTGAGCATTGTAACGACAATATGTTTTATCTAGCAGTAATTTCACAAAATTTCACCCACCTAGGTCTGCGCATGTCAAGCTAAGCGAACAACTGGAGACAGAGAACCAAGAAAATCTCAACGTAAAACAGATTTACAACGCTGCCAAATTTGGCGATCCGGGTACCTTACGTGCTGTTGTCTTAAATCTCGGTGCCAGCATTGATGTCGTTGACACACAGAATAGAACAGCTTTAATGCTCGCTGTGGACGAGAATGAGGTCGTGGCGGCTGCTACTCTTGGACAGGGCCACGCCTCGGTGAGTGAAGATATCCTGGACACCGCTATACGAGGGGGCGGGGAGGATATGGTGCAGACATTGCTGACGTGTGCTGAGATCAGTATGCAGGGTGGGTGTGGAGCGGGGAACGAACAGCCTGCAGCTGTTGATGATATCAAAGAAATGGACCTCTCTAATGATGAAGATGTAGTTGAAGATTTGATAGATATTCAGGAGCCTGAGAGATCTGGAACTGAGAAGTCCCAGGAGGAAAGTGAAAGAATGAACGATGTACAACAGACGGATGATGATAGCGTTGGCTCAATGAATGATGTACAACAGACGGATGATGATAGCGTTGGCTCAATGAATGATGTACAACAGACGGATGATCATAGAGTTGGCTCAATGAATGATGTACAACAGACGGATGATGATAGAGTTGGCTCAATGAATGACGTACAACAGACGGATGATGATAGCGTTGGCTCAATGAATGACGTACAACAGACGGATGATGATAGCGTTGGCTCAATGAATGACGTACAACAGACGGATGATGAGAGAGTTGGCTCAATGAATGATGTACAACAGACGGATGATGACAGCGTTGGCTCAATGAATGACGTACAACAGACGGATGATGATAGAGTTGGCTCAATGAATGACGTACAACAGACGGATGATGATAGCGTTGGCTCAATGAATGACGTACAACAGACGGATGATGATAGCGTTGGCTCAATGAATGATGTACAACAGACGGATGATGATAGCGTTGGCTCAATGAATGACGTACAACAGACGGATGATGATAGCGTTGGCTCAATGAATGACGTACAACAGACGGATGATGAGAGAGTTGGCTCAAT